TGTTTATTAATATTAGACCTGAGCATTATTTATAAAATTAAAAAACATAGTAATAGGACAATATTATGTATACCTGCACTTTTAATTATTAAAATTAAATTATATATTAGATTTTTTATTATTACTCGATAAAAAAATTACTATCATTCTTATTTAGGAAACGGGTTTTTTAAATAAAAGTCTATTATTCAAATTTAATAACAAACAGAATTTAAAAGTGTACTTTTTTCCAAAATCACTACATTCTGATTTCAATGTAAATTTAACAAGTATATATGTTTAAAAGCATGATAGTAATATTTTGTGTGGATTATGCAAAGGGCCAGGGATTGCTTCAAAAGTAATGGTCCAAGAAACTTATAATAAATCAATGAGGCGTGCATATACAATTAATATATAGAATATCGATTTTCGGTTTCTTTTTCATTTATTGGTTCTGCAAGAGTTCAGGTTTCAGGATCTCCAAAACTTAATGTTTTGGATTATATCATTGGTATTAACAGTTAATCGTAATAATTCATGATTCTGATCAGGTTAGGTTATTGTAATACTCTGCTTGTATTTAAAGACCCAAGTTTCTGAAAAGAAAGTTCAATAAATTAACAATGACAGATATTTGATATTTAAAATTTTGTTATTAGTTTAAATTTTTGTTATTTCTAATTGTAATTTCGGTAATTCTGGCTGATCAAAGCAACATCACCTCGATAAATACTTTAATATAAAACCTAATAATTTAATAATTAAAACCCATTTCGGACGGATTGATAGATAGATATTTTAAAATCATGTGGGAACTTGAGACCATGGGTCAAGGAAGACATATTTTAAGGATAGGTGAAAATGCTGATTCTATTAATAATTTGGTAAAGGTGGTTATAGTACTTACTTCAGTATTTGAAGCAATAATACTTCCAGTGTTGGTTTCTCTGGTCTGGATATCTATTTACAAAATTAAACAAAGAATGAATGCAAGTGATTTTAAATTGTGCATGGAGACTACACACGGCTCTACTTTAAAGCTTTTCATGGATTTCTTCCTCAGATATGAAAGATTATCCAAGAGTGTGATCGTATTCACCATTCCATTACTTTTAGCAACTATACTAGGGAAAAATATACCAAATATTATGCTTTCTGGGATTATTGGATTGCATGATTTTACCACCATTGTGCCTTCCAACATTGTATTATTCAATAATGATTCGAATTGCGTTTACACATCATGCACTTCTGACTTGACAGAAGAAAACTTTGCATTGGTTGTAAATTCTACCACCATACAAGATACCATGCGTAGAAATTATGTGCAAAATACTTATTGGGGTTTAAATAATACTCTGTATGCAGTGCGTGCCAAAATTGATCCAGGATCTTGTGTTTTAGGCATAGGAAATGGATCGGTAGATAGTAGTAATCTGGGGAATGAAACGGATACGCTCACGAATACTGGAAGGCTTACAGGTAGCTATAGTGATAATCATCTCTCACCTAGAAATGTTAATGTAGCTTCTTTTGTGCTCACTACAACGATGAGTGTCGAAATGATAGATAGATGTGATATACCTATGAATTTGTTTTATGTTTCTTCCGATTTTTCTCCTGATGTTGTGAAAATGGCCAAGTGGTTGTATGATAGCGGATATGTACATGATCAAATTTTTCCACGTGATTGCAGAGTATATATGGAATGCACTATAAATATGGAATGGAAACAAGTGCAAGTATTTGGAAATACACCAGATGATCTGGAAATATCGGAAGTGCGATCTAATAACACTATAGAAAAATTGCAAGAGATAGTTTCTGCCAATGTAATTGACTCTGACATCAATGGAAAATGGTTTGGAGAAAGGCTTATTAGTAATGTTATAGATAAAATGTCATTACAGTTAACAGCCTGTCGAAACTACTAAACCCGTTAAGGATTCCCTAGATTATAAAAACACTGATAAAATAAAGAAAGTTTGGTATAAATGTTTTTTATCCAAGAATCAGATTAGAAATGAAAAGAGCCGATAACACACGTTGTTTGTTACCCGAACTAAATGATGTGTAGCTTGCTGTTTTTCCTGTTAAACATCCAAAAAGGAAATGTAAACAGACCTGTTTATTATCATTGTACGATACTTTCTACTTATTATTATTAAAGTTATCGTTACTTTCTTTTACAAACAAGTTTAGGTGACATTCTGGAAATATCGGAAGTGCGATCTAATAACACTATAGAAAAATTGCAAGAGATAGTTTCTGCCAATGTAATTGACTCTGACATCAATGGAAAATGGTTTGGAGAAAGGCTTATTAGTAATGTTATAGATAAAATGTCATTACAGTTAACAGCATGGAGAAACGTTATCAGATTCCAAGGAAGCAACCACAGTTACAATTTGTTAGATCAGTTTGGTGATACCTTGTCACAGTCGTTGGCATCATCTATACAAACTATGATGAACAATGTCAGTGTTGATGTTGATAAGAAGGAGATATTAACGGCTCCGGGGCTTTGGGTAGAGCTTACTGTTTTAATATTCGCAATATTATTGACATGCTTTATGTTAATGCCCATCTTGACAACTAGAAATCCAAAAATGTTGTTGCCACTTAGTATACTGGATTTTGGAATCATATCCAATTCCATTTTCAAAGAATATAATGATGATGGCAGCTACAATCAAAAAATTTCTTGGCCATTTGATATAGTTTATTCACAAGATAAGTCGTATCGTTTGACTTCGGCGAATGAATCAGCCGATAATTAATATTTATTATTCTTTACACTTTATCCAAATCTTCACTGTAAATTTTTAACTAATTTTTATATACACACACATATAAACTTGATAAGTCGGTCATTTATTTATATTATCAAGTACTTTAAACAATTGATTGGTGCGTCCTATTTATCGAGTTTACATGTGTATAACATTAATATAGATATTTTTTTAACAACATAATCTTGTTATGACTAGCATTAATATAAATAGATAAATGAATATAAAGGTTATACTATTATATAGTAATATTAATTAATATATATATAACATTTCGCATACGTAATATTAATTTTGAAAAAATAATTTTATTATAATATTAACGAAAGACCTTTTTTGAAAAGAGGGTTCTTTTAATTCGCTTTTTTTTCAAACAAAATAATTGTTAATATTGACAATGTGATTTCATTATCATATTTTTGTGTTGTGCCAATAATACTGCTAGTGTTGCTGTTTACGTGTTTACGCAAAAAACATAATAATAATTAAATTTGGACAAGATGGTAAATATTATACAGAAATTTTAATTACCAAACTAAGTAATGATAATAATAAATTTCCGAGAATTTCCGGAATTCTATAAACATTCACGGATTGTTAAAGGCGCTCACAAGCAATATTAATAATACACTTTTTTGAATAAGCGTATTCACCACCAATCCAAATTGCGCAATGATTTTCAAGCCAATAAAAATCTACAAAATTTAGTCATGCTGTTGCTCTCCAAATTTAATTTTTTAAAAGGAAAAAAAAATGTGTAATAAAAAATTTATTTATCATTATACCACTACGTTTACTAAAACCAATTAATTCTAATCATAATAAATATTTTTCTATAGCATTAGCAGCAAATGACAATGATCAAGATATTTATTACATGAAACTTGCAATAGAACAAGCAAATCTTTCTAAACCAATTCCAACTGCTTACTGTGTTGGAGCCGTAATTATCTCCTTGCTATTATTTCATTCATTAATTAATTGATTTTTTTTATTAAGTAAATCTTCTTAATTTCATCAATCAAAAAAATGATAAATCTAACTAAATCTGTCTATCAATCGACTCATTGATAAATATAGTTGATAGTCAAAGATTCAAAGATTCTCTCAACAGGATATTCAAGAGAACTTGAAGGTAACACTCATGCAGAAGAATGTGCGCTATTAAAACTCACCTCTTCTTCAAATGATATCACCGCTGCCAAAGATGCAACAATGTATACAACTATGGAGCCTTGTAGTAAGAGGCTATCAAATAATAAACCTTGTGTGGAAAGAATTATTGAATCAAAAATAATAAAAAAAGTTGTTTTAGGTGTTAGGGAACCTGATAAATTTGTTGAAAAATGTGAAGGGATTGATTTATTAAGGAAAAATGGTATTGAGGTTGTTTCTGTGTCGAGTTTAGAAGATGAATGTTTAAAACCAAATAAACATGTTTTGCAATAATATATAAAGAATGATGTAAAAATAGCGTGATGAAAGAGATATGGATGGATGGATAAGAGAGCGAGAAAATGAAATTTAATTTATTTAGTTGAGGTAAAAATAAAAAAACTAATAATATCAATATTATGATATTTCAAGTATTTCAAGAATGTTGATATATATATATAATTACAATTAAAATATAACAAAATTTTTAATTAATTTTTTGGGAGGGTTATCATCAACATACTCTCAACGTCTCATATTCAAATGCACTGCCGTCTAATGTCCAATAACTTAACTTTCTTCAATGTCGACAGAAGAAAAGAAAATTTCAATTAAATGATAATTTGAAAAATTAAAATTTTTCTGTTGCACCAAGTATTTCTAAATTATTATAAACAAAATCTCTTTTTTGAACAAAATAGATAACTTTATTTTGTTCTTGATTGATAATCTATAGAACAAAGTTAGTTCATTTAGCCTTAAAAAAAATATTGACCTTTTTACGCTCTAAAATAGTATTTGTTGACGTCGAAGAAAAAAGAATCACAAACAGAAACGTTAACACGCATGTTAGTTGATACTTTGATAAGGAAAAAAAAACATTCATTTATAAGAATATTCTTTATATCTGTTGTGCGTGAAAATGAATTTGCGATTCACGTATGTGAAATTTCATATCCAAACACCCCCACCCCAAAATTTTAATTATAAATTTCGACTTCACATAGTTTCAATTTCGCATACAACATATCTATATCTTTGAACTATGTAATGTCCAAATTGACCGATCATCAGTGTAGGAGGAGGTAATGAATGTAATTCATCAAGGATATGACTTTTTTTTTTATAATCATAAGCATAGAAATATTTTAAAACATCCGAGATAAAAGGAGGGGGGTCATAAATTCATTATTATCAAACTTATCATCGAGAGTAACGAGCGGTTTTCCTCCATTGTATAAAACAAACATGAAATGTCACCTAAACTTGTTTGTAAAAGAAAGTAACGATAACTTTAATAATAATAAGTAGAAAGTATCGTACAATGATAATAAACAGGTCTGTTTACATTTCCTTTTTGGATGTTTAACAGGAAAAACAGCAAGCTACACATCATTTAGTTCGGGTAACAAACAACGTGTGTTATCGGCTCTTTTCATTTCTAATCTGATTCTTGGATAAAAAACATTTATACCAAACTTTCTTTATTTTATCAGTGTTTTTATAATCTAGGGAATCCTTAACGGGTTTAGTAGTTTCGACAGGCTGAATTTATAATTCATAACAAGACTTTAAACAACATCAAATAAAAAAATATCAAGAACACAATCTCCTTCTTCTATGTGTTTAAATATTTCAATTCAAAGCTCACATCTACAATCTACCATTCCATTATTTTTTATATACTGTATTATTAATTAATTTTAAAATCATCAATTATGTGCAAAATATATATTTCTACTTTAATTATAACAAATTTTTGCAGTCCAATTTTAAGTTTGTGAGCTCGATCACTTCATAATGTTAGATATCTGAATTAGACCTAAATTTCTGTGATGTATAATTTCAACTGTTTTTTCTTCATCTTCTAAATCTATTACCCCATTTTTATAACCCTAGCAGGCTGAAAACTAGTAGTATACGCATAGACTTCCTAAATCATTAACAAGCATTTAGCATTATTTATATCATTATGAGATTTTTGTAGCAAACATTTTATGACATGTATTCAGAGCCTTCATGCTTTATAAATAATTAAACGAACGAGTGGTTCAATACTCTCTGCTTTATTACGCCACTGCTGTCATCCATTATGTAATTAATTCCATCTGATTTGAAATTGGGCCTACTTCCATTAATACACAACAAATGCAACTAATCTCTTTAAAAAGTTGAATCTCAATAGATAAAACCAAATTTATATGTATTTCGTGACTGCGCCGACCTTTAAATTGTTGTCAAATCTAATAAACCTATGGGATAGATGATATAATACTAACACACTTTTTCTTGCAACGACTCGTTCTCGGATTCTAGCAGAAATGTTAGTTTTTTACAATCTATTTGAAAATTATCAATTACGGAATGAATGAATGGTATATCGAGATTCTGAAATACCCAAAGAAGTAAATTTTGGATTTCTTAAACATACTAATGGTTGCTGTGGTGGTCATTATGATAATATTTTTTAATGACTGGTGATTTTCAGATGCTTAAAATTCACTGTTGGTAAATCGTCACCACTTGCCTATAGACCTAATAATTTTGTTCAGAAGTAACCGCTGAATTAAAGTCTGTTGCAAATTTGTTATATATTGTACTGATACAATTTTTTTTTTACGCTATTTCCATAAACAGTATATTACCGAGTGTCATTCTATATATAATTAAACAACGACTTTGATCTAAATAATGTGTCGAATTTTTATATCTTGATCCTTCTGCTTTGCAGTCAAATGAAATCATGTACTACTTTTTATTGCGCGGGATTATTATATTATTTATTTTTATTACAAATTGACCAGAAATTTTTTATATGGATTTCAAGGACTTTGCAAATTTAGTATTATTTTGTCGTCAAGCCATTCCTTAACATTTAAGTTATAACTTTTTTTATAACAAGTTTCATGTGATAAATCTTTTAATTTTTAATCAACACGTAAAAAAATATTCATCAAATCAACTTTTCTTTTCATTGACTGAGCCGGCTTCCTTTGTTCCATATGACCTTTCCTAGTGATGGGCAGATCAGTATAGTGTGTATAGTTCTATATAGAACTATATAGTAGCAGATGTAAATCAATTAAATCAATTCCTGTTTAGGTTATTGCCAAATAATAGATGTGATGTTACACATAAAAATTAATTAAATATTATATATGCAGTATTTTAAACTTATCAAAGTGCAATTTGGTAACATTTTAAACACATTGGTAATGTTAATGTCATAAGCAATTACGTTTTGAATGACTGTCTACATTGCAAAAGCTCAACAACATCAATGCGCTAGTTCAGTATCTAGATGTGAAAACCATTTACGCCTTTGTCCAAATGCCACAATTCAAACTAAAGAAATTATTTTGGAGAACATTTTGATACTTCAAATACTAGCATACAGATAATTTATAATGTGATTGAAAAATGCCATCAAAGAAGGTGATTAAACACATGAAAATTTTCTTGAAGAATTTAAATAAAAGTGAAAACAATTTGATTTTTATGACATTTAATTAATTCAATATACTGTAATTAATGATTTAATTAAATATATAAATCAAACTTTTAGTATAAAAAAATACAAGTTGAATAAAGATTTAATTGCTTGCAATGCTCATGTTTATTGTAATAGCCATAAAATTCAGTTTGTATTACTTTGAAAATCATCTAATCAAATTTCAACACTACCATACGCACATTTGTCCATCTCTAATATTGGCCCAATCTGTTTGAGATGATCCCACTCGTTTAAAACCCATCTCAATCAATTTACGCTGTATTAGTATTCTGTTGCTTTGATATAACCTTTACTGGGATTGAAGGAAATTCCAGATTTTTCTTATCAAGGTCAAGCAAGATCTTTAAAAATTGAAAATGTTAAAAAAATTCACGACATTTTAATACTTGTATCTAACCTCTCCACACTTGAATTTCTTGCTCATTGAAATAATTATAATGTTTTTAATTTATCTCATTCATCTCTATTATTACAAATATTTACGATATCTACTATAAATTTAAAGAAAGATTTGCACGCAGATCGTAACTGTCATTTATTTATATTAAAGTGCTTTAAACAAATGATTGCTGCGTCTGACTTATCGAGTTCATATAAAAAATTTGTTTAATATTAATTACAAACAAGCAAGATACGGTTGATCCGGAATGTAAGGATCATATATTATTATTTTTAATGCCAATATTAATATTACAAAGAAATGAATCCTGTTTAAATATTTTATTCATAATTTTTTTTACTATATATGGGGCACACGAATTGACTAAATTTGATTTTCACATACGAACTTTAAAAAATTGATATTCCTGCATGGAAACAAATATGGCATAGACTATATATTTTCAGTTTAATTTGGAAAACAAAATGATAAAAAATAATAATGTACTAGTACACTTTAACATCAATTAATTTTAGAAAAAAAAAAAATTTAGGCATTTAAGTTTAGTATTAGGTGAATGTTATTATAATAGCTATAAATAATAATAATATCTCCATATATTGGCAATTATCAAAACAATTGCCACGCACGAATACTATCAGATGACATAAATGATAATAATAATAACCATTTAAAATTTTTATTCTAATAATCTAAAGTCGGATAAATTTATCCGTCAGGTGTTTCTTTTTTATTGAAGGGGTAAATCAGACCATGGCCTCCTTTTCTTTTTCTTAATAAAGTACACATATTTTATTGCTTTATTAACTAACAAAAAAAAAAAGCTTGAGGGTAAATACGACCAAAATTTCTTGTAGAGAGTATCAACTGTTTATTGTAATAGCCATAAAATTCAGTTTGTATTACTTTGAAAATCATCTAATCAAATTTCAACACTACCATACGCACATTTGTCCATCTCTAATATTGGCCCAATCTGTTTGAGATGATCCCACTCGTTTAAAACCCATCTCAATCAATTTACGCTGTATTAGTATTCTGTTGCTTTGATATAACCTTTACTGGGATTGAAGGAAATTCCAGATTTTTCTTATCAAGGTCAAGCAAGATCTTTAAAAATTGAAAATGTTAAAAAAATTCACGACATTTTAATACTTGTATCTAACCTCTCCACACTTGAATTTCTTGCTCATTGAAATAATTATAATGTTTTTAATTTATCTCATTCATCTCTATTATTACAAATATTTACGATATCTACTATAAATTTAAAGAAAGATTTGCACGCAGATCGTAACTGTCATTTATTTATATTAAAGTGCTTTAAACAAATGATTGCTGCGTCTGACTTATCGAGTTCATATAAAAAATTTGTTTAATATTAATTACAAACAAGCAAGATACGGTTGATCCGGAATGTAAGGATCATATATTATTATTTTTAATGCCAATATTAATATTACAAAGAAATGAATCCTGTTTAAATATTTTATTCATAATTTTTTTTACTATATATGGGGCACACGAATTGACTAAATTTGATTTTCACATACGAACTTTAAAAAATTGATATTCCTGCATGGAAACAAATATGGCATAGACTATATATTTTCAGTTTAATTTGGAAAACAAAATGATAAAAAATAATAATGTACTAGTACACTTTAACATCAATTAATTTTAGAAAAAAAAAAAATTTAGGCATTTAAGTTTAGTATTAGGTGAATGTTATTATAATAGCTATAAATAATAATAATATCTCCATATATTGGCAATTATCAAAACAATTGCCACGCACGAATACTATCAGATGACATAAATGATAATAATAATAACCATTTAAAATTTTTATTCTAATAATCTAAAGTCGGATAAATTTATCCGTCAGGTGTTTCTTTTTTATTGAAGGGGTAAATCAGACCATGGCCTCCTTTTCTTTTTCTTAATAAAGTACACATATTTTATTGCTTTATTAACTAACAAAAAAAAAAAGCTTGAGGGTAAATACGACCAAAATTTCTTGTAGAGAGTATCAACAGTAGTTGGCAAATTGTTTATTATATTACAACTGGGTCATGTATACTTTTAGACAGAAGGATTCACAACGATGTATTAGTATGGTAATAAGAAATATGACAAAAGATTTCCAATTTCCAATTGAGAGTGATGAGCCAAAAAAAAAAACAAATGCATAGTAATAAAAATGCGTAAAATATCAACCACGTTGTAGCGATTTTCAAGAAAGTCTTTTATGATCAAGGTGTATGTATGTATGTACGTGATCGCGAGAATTTGCAAGGCGTCCGTGAATTCGTAAGAAAAGGGATAGATGAGATTATAATTAAATCGGATGATCCATCATTGTTGATCATGAAACAGAATGGTACACTGTTATTAGGATTGATGCTACAAGATTAATTAAATTTTGATGTTTATGACATATGTGTGATATTTATTTATTTTTTAATAAATCAAGATTCTATCAAATACCAACACGCATAAATAATAATTTGTGCTACTACACACACAAAATAAAAACGGAAAAAAAAAGGTTAATATTAAAACCTTTTTTTATTTTTATTTATAGTTCCAAAAAAAATATATATTAATAATATTTTGATCATTAATTCAATCAAATTAATAACTTATTACTATTACTAGTAATATAAATAAGATAAGAAAATAAAATAGCACCTAATTGATTGATTAATAAATAGTACTAATTAACAATGGAGTGAATATCGGGCATACATTACTTTAACATCCATAAATAAATAAATTAAAGTTTAACATTAAGAAAAGAAAGGGACTTATTTCTTTTAATTCAAATTGTTTGTTTGTACCACTAACAATTAACCTAAAAAAACGAATATTTTTCCCTTATTTTTCCTTTTTTTTTCTTTTTTGAAAATTTTTTTATATATACGTTCCATCTTCAAAAAAAAAAAATTTTTTTTTCCAATAATGGGAAATCATAACACAAAAAATACTTCAAAAGGTTCCCATTCCTATGCATCATCTTCATCTTTTACATCAACAACATTAGCGATTACGACATCACCACCATCATCAACAATAAAACGACCTTTATTAAGACCAATGAAATCATTAAATTTATCATTGTTATCATCACTCAAGTCATCACCTTTATCACCATCATCATTACAAGTTAAAAGACCTTCATTACCAACCTTCAGATATGTCGAGGGAAGAAGATATCAAAACTTTGTTGGTGAAAATATAAGATATCAAATGCCTGATGATAACGAAGAACACGATAGATTACAAAGGCAGCATTTCCTATTTAGATATTTATGGAAATCAAACTTTTCTTCTCCAATGGAAGATTTATTGAAACGCGGAAATTGTAAAACGCTTGATATTGGGTGATTATTTCATTCATCATATTAAGAGATATGTGACGAAATTTATATTTATTTACTCACTTCCCTCTCCAATATTATATTGTTGCTAAAAAGGTGCGGGCCGGGAGCCTGGTTGATGGAATGTGCAAATGATTATCCGCGCTCTGATTTTGTAGGAATTGATGTTGTGGCTTCATTTCCAACACAAGTGAGCTATAATTTTTTTTTGAATTTGTCAGATCATCATCATCCCTGATCATAATAATCATCCATTGTTAATCCATTAGATAAAACCAAGGAATACAACATTTGTTCAAGGAAATGTTTTAAATGGGTTACCATTTGAAGATGAAACTTTTGATTTTGTACATATGAGGTTAATGGTGGGCGCTTTTTCTGAACAAGAATGGATTAATAATGTAATACCAGGTAAGATTATTTTTTAAATATCTTTTTACAGATTTGCAACTTCACGTGGTTTTTAATTAACTTTTTTCTATCATATTGTAGAAATCATTCGCGTCACTAAATATAGAGGATGGATAGAATTGTACTGTATATAATAATCTACTACTGTTATATACTATTTTAAATATGGTTATTAAATTTATAAATGTGTTCTTGTTTAGATGTGAAACAGACCTTAAATGGTACAAGTGTGGTCCATTATCAAATAGAATAATAACAGGATGTAAGTTTATCATATCGTTTTGTAACTTTTTACAAATGTAATAATACTAATCATATGTATTATTATTGTAAATTAGTAAATAAATTCACGGAATCGAGAGGTGCAATAGGGATTGTAACTCCAATAATTCAATGTGCATTACAAAATAATCCTTCTCTAACAAACTATCATAGCATATACAAAGATTTAAATTTTGGTAGTTGGGCTGGGAGGTAAATAAAATAAAAAAAAAAAAAAAAATAAACATAAAATAAATTTGATGATATTAATGTCTCTGCTTAAAAAAATTTTAATTTTATATAGACTTGGTGAAATTGCAACTGAAGAATACTTGGTAAGAATTAAAAAAAGCAATTAAATATATATGTACATGTATATGTTTCTATCACAAGTATCCATCTAATTCTCTTTTTTTTAAAAAAACTTTTTTTCATAATAATAATAAAAAAATAAAGGTAAGATCTTTACATGGATTACCAGAGTTGGCACCTATTATTGGAGTATCGCAAAAAGAATATAAACAAATCCTAGATAATAGACTCAGTGATGAAATGACTGAAAATAAAACATATACTAAAAATCATAGAATTTTTGCAAATAAAATTTAATAGATAATTATAATAAATGATTGGGAACAATAAATAAGCAAACTGTACTGTAATTATTAATAATAATATAATACTAATAATACTAATAATAATTAATAAATTGCTGATCGAGATGATCTTTGTTCATTTTTTTTTCTTTTTGAATGGGATATGAGAAGTTGCCAACAATGACATAATTCTATCCTTAATTATTAAGAATGAAATGTTACTCTTTATTTTAAGATCGATATAAGTGGGTCATTTTTAAAATTTAAAATTCGAATTAAAAAATTGATCCAATTCATAATTAATGTCATATCCTTGGATTAAATAGCGCACCGATAGCATTAGTACGAAAAAGAGGAGATTAATTGGGTTAGGGGGGAATTTGCAGTTGGAGATGGATTATTACCAAGAAAAAGAGAGAGGAAAAACAATATCTGTTCCAATACACACTCTTTGAAGATCAAGAGTTTTTAAATTGCCCATCTGATCCACATAAAGAATAAAAAAGGTTAGGATGGCGAAAGAAAATATTTATCATGCATGATCTCGTGATTTCCTTTGGGAAATAGATCGGTTGGATCTATACTATCAAAATCATAGTATATAAATTAAGGCTGGAATGGATTAGTACATTTAAAGCTCATTTCACCATTTTGAAAGCGTCATTATCAAATAATTGGATTAAAAAATCCGATAATATGGTTGGCTCGGTCTGAGACCACCTGCTGCTGCGCCACGCGCTCAAATTTCATTTCGTGATCCATTCAAAAAATGCATTTTTTAAAAGGTAGGACAGAAAATGACTTTTATACTTTTAAAATTTGCACAAAATTTAGGAGGAGCCAACTATAGAATTATTTGTAAAAAATATTTTGATTTGACAATTTATACGTTGTGTTTAACTATATACTTATAGTTTTGTTTATATTTCCTTGTTTGGACACATATTAATTCAATTCAATTTCAGTGTGTCTCTTGGCATTCACATTAATCTTTCTCTTATCTTATCTTAAAGCTTAACTTTAATTGATGGCAATGATCGACATATTTATAGTAACCGGAAAAATTTGGACAAAATCACCAATCACAATCAAGCGTCTTTGAATGAAAAGCTTGCATTATCATAATTTTTTGTGTTTGCAGAAAAAGACCCAAATATTATTGATATATAAATTTTTTCTTTGCTTGTATTGAAAAAAAAAAAATTTTTTTTACTTTGGGGGCGTTAATTTTTCCGCAGCAAGTTCAAATCATGAATTAATTGAAAACTCATAAAATCATTTAATCAGAGAAGAATATTGGATTCAACAAAATTTAATTTAGTTTTATGCGCAAATGCACTCAAGATCGTTCTATGTCCAATGAATGGTGGCTGTAGATATGTGTTTATGATGAATGATAATCTACTTTATATATGTATATGTTATAGATACCACATGTCTATTTATTATTTAACATTATTTATTAATAATAGTTTTATTGTTCAATGAATCACATTATAATATCACTCTATTATATTATTATTTTAGTGTGAAGGATGTTCGTTTCATTGGTTATTGGTATTAGTACCATGATGTATGTTTCAATTGATAATTTGACAGAAACAGCAACAGTTGGAGCAGGAACACGACTGGGTCCATTATAACTTTAATTGGACAGAAACGGATACACGATAGTATCAGGTAATTCACCGACAATGGGTTTATCTTATCAGGTGGATTTGGCGTACAAATCACGTAATTTTGGAATTACTGGTGACTTTTGTTGTTGAGGCGCAATTGGTAACTTTTTATAAATCCCACATAAACACTGATTTATTTTGGGGTATTGAAAAATGCGGAGGAATGAATTATGGGAGTGGAAATTAAAGTTGATCAAGTCATGGATAATTTTAATTTTCAACACAATTTAAAATTATCTTAATATTTTAATTTTTATAGAATGAGCTTTTAAATCTTGACTGTATCTTTGATAATTAGTCGTAGTGGTGTTGGTGGTGATTTAGAAATGGAAATCATTTAGTGTCGCTATTAGATTTAATAATTAACCACCTTTATTTAATATTTAAAATGTGATAATTTAGGACTAAGATTATTAAAAGAAACAATATTTGTACAAAAGATTATATTTATTTAATATTGGAAATTTCCTTTTTTATCAATTCGTGGTAATAATAAAAATGATGAAAAAGTGGAGGTTGGTGTAATTCCAACAATTCCAGCTGGTAAAAAACAACCAAAAGAATTGATCAAGAATAAATCAATGTATTTCAATAATTCATTTACTAATAATCAAATATTGATCTTAAATAAATTGATTAATTTGAATAGAATTAGAAGCCTATGGTGGAATATTGCCTGAACAACTAATGAATTAAAGCAACATTCTTATATAGAAATGGACTTTATATTATTTATTAGATAATTTAGAATTATACAAGAAATGATCAATTGCAATTGGAATTGGTTAATGAAATTTGATAACTTGAACCTTTTTCAAATAGTCATAGTCATCAGGTATTCATTTTATTATTATGATTCTTTTTGGAGGGAAGGATGCAGGAAAAAGTGAGAATTACATTAAAGAAAATCTATTTGTTTATTTATTTTTGTTATTTCAAATTTTAGGAACATGTTGATTCAAATTTTAAAAGATTCTAATTATGGATCAAATTGCAATCTATAAAAACAAAATATGATATTTAATTATGAACAGTCAATCTTGCCTTTAAATATTGAACAGCCTGATAATCTTATAACATCCACTTCCAAAATAATGACAATAATGATAATAATGAGCCTATAGTAGTAGTAATGGTGATGCTAAACCATGTATGTATAAGATTTGATGGAACTTGCATTACTAATAATAATCATTTTTAATTTTAGTATTTATAATAATTTGATTTGTAAATAATTTTTCTAATTTATTTATATATATAATATAGAAGGATTTAAATTAAAGATAACAATATAGCTTATATATTTTAAAATTTCTATATTCAAATTTTTTGTCAAAGTTAAAAAAAAAAAAAGTTTAAACATTAATATAATTAGTTTTCTAATTAATTAAATGTTTGTATTTAAATCTATTTTTAACCAAATAATTAAAAATTAAAAATTAGATAATAGTAACAATAAATATATATATATACATACAAATAAAAAATACAAATGATTATATAGTGCAAATTACTTGATACACAGACTCAAAAAAAAAACCAATATCCTGCTGATTATCAACACCAGAGTCTACCACAATTTCATGTGAGTGATCGATCATTGACCATGACCATGTTCAAATTCTAAGAATAATGGTAAAACCATTCCCATCAACATGACACCAACATGTAATTTGGTTAATTTATTTTTATGTCCACCACCACCACCAATACCACCAATACCCTCTTTGGCGTGATGTCCATTAGTAACGTCCTGCATTACATGCATTGCAACATACAAAAATGTTCCACCTGAAAATAACAAAAGCATAGCAGTCCACCATTGCATACCAATTGGATCCAATTTGCTACTTTGTTGTATTAAGGCAAATGTACATAATGAAGAAAGTGGCGCTGCTAAACAAAAGGTTGCTAAATGTCTACGAATTTGTCGACGTGTATAACCTTCACGTAGTAAGATAGTTGTTAAACCAAAAGCCGAAGGTGCTTTATGTAACATTATTGCTAAGAAAACTATTGTTTCAAGTGTTGGTTCATTTGCCGAAGCACCAAGTGCTATACCATCTGCTGCTGCATGAATAATAAGTCCTATTGTAGCTGACATTGATTTATTATTATTTTTATTATTGTTATAATGATGAGATGTAGTAGATATCATCATTTCGTCAACATCTTCAATATTAATGTCACGGTCAACATTATTAGGATTGGAGATAGAGCGAAGATCAGTCAAACTTATAACATTAGCTTTACCATGATGACCGTGTGAATGAACATGTGAAGTATCAATTTGATCTATTAAAAACATCATTACAAATCCTGAAATAAGTGCCATTCCAATATAATGGTGATTTTCATTTTCTGGAAGTTTAATATCAGGTAATTTTGATCTATTTTCTGATGATGAGGGTGTTGATGATGATAATGTTGGTGATGTTATTGGTGGTGATGATGATGATAACGTTGGCGATGGAGTATTTTGTTTTATATTTTTGTCAATGTTATTATTATTATTGCTATTGTCAATGTTGTCATTGTTCTCAAACTCATCATCTTCTGACACATCTCTTTTCCCCCAATTAGACGAAAAAGAGGAAGAATCAAAATTTAAATTATCAAGTATACTGCTACTTCTTTTTTTATTATCATTAGATCTTTTATCTTCAGGTGGAACATTACTAAAAAAATTATCTTTATTTGCTTCTATTTGATAATACGATGGTACACTGTATAATGTTTCAATACCTTCTGGTATTATAACAATCAACGAAGTTCCAACCAAAAGTCCAACACCAAATGCCGATATTATTTTCAATCTATCTTCTGACATTTGAAATACTAGTGGAATGCTACCAGCTAGAAGAGAACCAAGAAACATTGATGTTGAAAGAAGAAATAACCATAAAAATGTGTCCATGATCATTTATATACGAGTTAATTATATAATAATTATAACAAAGGAATGAATGTGTATCGTTTTTTTTTTTTTTTTTTTTGAAAAATAAAATAGAGACCTTATTGCTTTTGACGATGATTGGTTGATTTTCAATTTAATATAAATATTTAATTAACAGTCAGTGACCTCTCTCTATTACTATGTTGGGTCGTGTAACAAACATGTTCTTTCCTCACAAAAAAAGTCGTTTTTAATCAACAAGATATTAGTATTAGTTATTTTTTTATATTATTACGTCACTATATATAACGGAGAAATCCGTTATAGATGGTAATTATTATTATATCTTAATATGAGACATTTAAATTCTCAGCCCATTATATATATAGAGCAAGATCCGTTATAAAGAGAGTGAGCTGTATTTTCTTTCCACAAAATAACTTACATATATCCTTTATTTATATAACATATATTCTCTCTCCTTCATTAATATGGAAGAAGAATTTAACAACAATAATGATGTATGAGTGAATATCTCTATTACAATTGGCAAAATTGGTAAGGAAATTTATTTACAAATTATTTCCATTATTTTCTTTTATTTTATTTTGGTTTGATTTTTAAGATAAACGAAATAACATTATACTGATTAATAGCTCTTTCAGATTATTTTTTTAATGTTAACCATTAATTGCTGATCCGTGAATGAATCGGAACACACTCCAAATCCATGTTTCCTGAATAATGAAGTCTTTAAATATAGCAATAAACTCTTTAATTTTTTTACATAGAAATAAATATTCATTGAGATTTACTTTATTCACATTTCATTCTCTGGCACAACAAGTATATCCAAATCTGCATTTCCTACATAGAAAAGTTTTTTATTTATCACGCTAAACTTTATTAATTTTTAGATGACAATAAAGTTATTTTCGAGATTTAACTTTATTCATATATAAAGTCATAACGCCAAATTTACTAATGTAGATCATTTGCTCTGATTGATAGTCAGATAAGTAATTTATTGAATTTGAACTACTGATTTATTATGCTTGAGCTATTAAAAAAATATACGTATTGTATAATTTTGGGAGTTGTATGGCCATTTAAAGCTATGAAAAGATCTCCTCCATACATATGTGCTGAAAATATGCATATCATTCACACAAAAGGCAATTTAATTCCCTTTTTAGGTAAGATATTCACGTTTCGACAAAAAATTTTATCGTAATAGTAGATTTGGATGAAACAAACGTGTAAATTATTAATTAAATATTCTTTACATAAATGAAAGCAATGCCTAAAGGTCAAATTTTCATATAGTGCATGCCATCTATAAACGTCAAAACGGTCACCTAAATTTAAAGTTTATAGCATAAAATTTTATATAAAAAAAAACCCCCCATGTACTTTTGTTCCTTAGGTACTAAGTTACAACATATGGTTCAATTTTTTTTTTTTTTTGATATAAAATTTTATGCTATAAAATTTTAAAGATAGATTTTTATAACAAATTCAAAATTTTGACCATTGATGTTTATAGTACACCATACGAGTAAAGTGACATGTGTCTGTACACACAGAAAATATATTGCAATAAAAAAAACCATTGATTTTTTTAATCAAAACTTATTTGCAGATATGTAATTGCGCACATCCAATTGAAATAACTCAACTTTAATTAAATGATAAGAATAACATTATTATGTACTTGCAAATCTTTACATCTTCTTGAAAACTTCTGCCCAAATTCATAACCATTAACGGGGGAGGTTAAAATTTGAGATTTTTATAAGCCACTTAATCACAATGAGGTGCAGTAACATCTATCCTACTCTGCTTGTATGACGGGGCAATAATTTAATCAAATTGAATATTTAAAACCTACAAGAACATGTAGATATTATTTACTTAACAATATGTTAATAAGCTTAATACAACATCTACAAAGCAAATAAAATAAATGTAACAATGAAAAAATCGGAACAGGAAAACAAAAGAATTTTTTAATGCCATGGAGTTGTTGGTTGTTGGCAACCAATTCTTACCTTAATTTAGCTTCGATCTTTGAATATCAACCTCAATCTAAACGTTAGCACGTTCTACTAAATTACACTACCTGGACAAAAGTATAGGGACACCTGCAGATCATCACAAATAATTGAATAAAGTGACATGACAAAAACTA